TGTTCACTGGAGAGCAAGTGATCATTTGCAAAAGGCCTATTTATGCGTTATATTAAGTGGATATTCCCTTCTAAAGCTAGAATATGCTTCGGTTCAGCTACACCTGTGGGAAGGAAAACTAGAGGTGGCAAGAAATTAAACTCAAGTATATGTTCTGAAACAAAAAATAGAAATCTTGTTAAAATGTTCATTCAAGTTAGTATGTAATAAATGTTCTTCTACTTGGTAGTTTAGCTAGTGTCAAAAGGAGACAAAAACCCAGACATATTCCATTTGCCTATTTATTGTATCTGGTTCTTACCTTAAAATTCTAACTTGTATCACTGATCTGTCGATGTTTTTGTGTTCTTAGAGAAAGGATTTCAAATCAGCCACTCAAGCAGTCTATCACTAGAGTAAAATAAATTCCACTTACACACCATTATAGCATAGGAATGACTATATTGTTCAAAAATATATAATCTGATATACAGCGTAATTATTTTAGAACTGTCTATCACCACACAGTTATTGTCCATGTACCCAATACAATGAAAGGTATAGCTTAAAAAAGGTGGTGGGGGTGGGATGGGTACTGCTGCTGTCAGTTTTTAAAGACAGAATGTGGAAAGTCAAAATAGTGCTGCTAGATTAACAAGCAATTAAAATAAGGGCACAGAAAGAGAAGTGTAAGAGATGGCAGATTCCTCTACTTTCATAGTCAGTGGGAAAAAAGAAAAGTCACAAGAATAAAGGAAGTCCTATCAACAATAAAAATTTAACTGAAAAAGATGTCCAAACTCAAAGAATACAGAAATACCTGGCACATAATACCATACCTGAAGGAGATATATGAAAAGAGTGAATAGAACTATAAGTCAAATTCAACTTAAAGTTTAAGCAGAATCCCAAATTTAAATAAGCAAGCCTCTTTTCATCACATAGATTCTCCAATTTGACCAGAGCAAGTTGCTTTGAGACCACAGAGATCTGGCATTTTAATTTTGCATTAGAAATCGAAAAAAAAAAAAAAATACCTTTGGCTTTCTTACCAGCCATTTCATTCATGACATTGACGGCCGATGGCAGCGACATGGAAATGTATGCTGGATATTTGAATAATTTCAATATTACATACAATCAATAGCTTATAACCAGTGAAAATAACAAGAACACAATTAAGCCTATGTGTCCAAGATAAGATACGAGAGAGTAGAGAAAGTGCTTGAGTCTACAGGTCTTCCCTGAAAGTTTAAAAAATGTTTACTTCTTTAAGTAGGTAGGACTTTTAATAGAATTTGCATAGCAGCTTACAAGGTAATTCGCATCAAAAAACATGGAGAGATTCTTCCAGGGTTTTAAAAACAAATATATCCACATGCATATAAATTAAATGAGAAGACCTGGAGTTTCTCATAAATTTTTTTTTTAAAAATCTATCATAACCTTTTCTCTTACTTTTGCTTATCAAAACCATTTACAGTGAAAGCTGTTTCTGGGAGAAACATAATCTTGTCCAGATTCCACACAGCTTTTTTTTTTTTTTTTAAATAAGTTTTGGTTTATCAGCTAAGTGCATTTAATCAGCTGAAAAAAGTTTGTTAATATTTTGCTTAGTAGGACAAGCTAGGAAGACAAATAATAACAAAGCTAGCTATCTGTTCATTAGGTGTATTTTTCTACATATATATATATAAAAAGAAATAATCTCTCCTGTCATGAAAAATTTTCAGTAAGTTTGTTAGAGTACAGATGATACTAACAGGCACTATCAGACTTTCTGTAGTCTAAAAAGTGCTAAAACATGGCTTTAAAATGGTGGCTAACATTAAAGTAACACTTTTGACTGCCTGTACACGTCCCGATATTTGACATGAAACTCTTGTCTACTAGGTAGGTGAGTTTACAGTTACAACTGTCTAATAAATACTGCATAAACATACATTTAAGTATTTCTTCATATAAAATGATCGGATACTAATTTCCAGGTAAGGTTCATTTGATGAGTTCAGGAAAGGATTTGCCTCCCTCCCTTTTTTTGTTCCTTTCCTTTCCTTTATATGGAAAGTTTTCAAGAAAGAAGAGAAAGATTTTTCACACACCAATTGGCTGCTTATAGGCGTGTCTGTGTGGAATGTGGAGAAGATGCCTAAGCCCCAGGGCTCAGGGGACATAGGAAGCGGTTCATCTGAATGGGGGCATTACTTTGCAGTTTCCTTTCCATTCTATGTAAGAGGAGAACATATCTCAATAAGTTTCCTAATTCGAAGTGAGAGAGAAATGAAAAGTTGGAACTATAAAAGAGGCAGTATATCAAAAATGCCCATTTTAAGTTACAATTTGAAAAGAATTTGCCGTATTTTGGCATCTAAATACAAAATACATACTTATCAAGGCGTCCTACTCATTAAAAAGCACTTCATATGTGATTTTAAAAATCCCGCGAACACACTTAATGGAAGAACCACCTTGGTCACACAAGACTGGAAAGCTGTGGAAGTCTGGAAAACAAGCAACTTAGGAGCTCCAGCTCTTGGTGCTGTCAGTAGAGAAAGGAAATCTCCCCTACACTTTCGTTTTGCAGCAAGACCTAAAGATTATTAAAAACCCTACGAGCTCAAGGCTATACCTGATGGTTGAAATGTGAGCAAAAGGAGCCAACACGCACACATCTTGCCTCTCCTGCTCACATCTTCATCACTCTTAGAGATCTTCAAATCATGGACCGAGTGACTTACAAGTTCCCCTGCAAATCTTCTCAGCGGCTTAGCCTTTCATAGTAGCAAAACATCAACCACGTGGCTCTGCTGCCGAAGCCTACGAACAATTCATTCCACTCTTCATACTAATAATATTGTCAGAGTGTCCAACGTCTCTGGCCTGAGGGTAGTTGGTGTTGAAATTCTGCTTCCAGAAATCATAGCTGGACCTTAAAGACTTTTCATCCTTCAATTTACTGGAAATTTCCCTCAAGTGGACCCAATTTCAGGTTTATTAATGTTCAAAACAAGTAAAGCTCTTAAAGACATAGTCCTACCTAGATTTTAATTTCCAGTTTTAAGTGGATCATATCATTCACTTGGGGAACTTCAACAAGTATTTGAAGCTGGAAGGAGAAGAGACATCTCTTCCCAACCTTTCCATATCATCAGTCTCACTGGACATGGGGACAGAAGTCTGCCTAACTGGTGGAGAGAAGACGATGGGATCACAATGTAGGGTGAAGATGAACTCGGCTCCTGCTCCTACTCTTCCGCATGTCCCCCCGTCGGCCAGTCTGCACTCAAACCAAATGGCTCATGCTCTGCATATACAGTTGTCTTTTCTTTTCTTCCCTCTGACTCCTCCCATTTGGAGTGCCATCTCCTTCGCTCTCTGTAAGGGTCACATCCTCTTATGGCACTCCTGATCAATCTAGGAAACGAGAACTATTCCTAGTCCTTTCTTCGGAGAGCACAGAGAATATCCAAGTCAATAAACCCTTTCTTTCAGATCCAGAAACTATGCTAATCTTGACATTCTATTTATTTTTGGATATACATTTCCTTGATAATTAGGAAAAATAAGCTGAGTGTGATTCTCCAAAGCTACAAAACCAGCAATCTTATTGCTACAGCATCCTAATGACAACATCTGGCAATGCTTAACAAAATGCAGGTGGCTGTTTCAGGGTCTCTTTGCCCTGCCCCCTACTGGACATTATTATGAATCTTGAATTAGTAGCTGCATGTCCATGCCACTCTGCCGCCACAAAGAGAGTCAGGACCAGGATCTCGCATGGGTTCACGTAGTCCACAGCAACTCGACTGGACATCTATGCTGAAGAGCTGGCTTCACCCACACGGTCTACGCTTTAGACAAGCTAGGTCCTCAGGATTGATCCTCCTTTAACCAATTTGCCCACTAGAAAAGATGCCATTAAGGAAACCCACCTCAAAGACTATTTCTCAAAACTAGGCTAGATGATCTCCCTAGAATGGCAGTGATGTCCAGTTATTCAAATAGTGACTAATAAAGCTCCACTAACCCTAACCAAAGGCACACTTGGTAAGCAATAAAAAATGGCTTAGCTTAAAATGAGGGTTTTTTTTTTTGTTTGTTTAATTTAAACAATAACTCTTGCAACATCCCCTGGCTCCTACCAATGATAAAAATCAGAAAAAAAACCTAAAACTTTTCTTTCAAAGCAGTGGTTTCCAACTTTCGTTTTCAACTTGGTCACCACTAGAAAGGGAGTGGCAGGCAAGGCAAATTAAATTTTGTAAGTTCTAAGCCCTAAAGTTAGCACTTATGAATGGCCAAGTTTAATTAAAAATGGGGGTTTTTTTTTTGTTTGTTTAATTTAAACAATAACTCTTGCAACATCCCCTGGCTCCTACCAATGATAAAAATCAGAAAAAAAACCTAAAACTTTTCTTTCAAAGCAGTGGTTTCCAACTTTCGTTTTCAACTTGGTCACCACTAGAAAGGGAGTGGCAGGCAAGGCAAATTAAATTTTGTAAGTTCTAAGCCCTAAAGTTAGCACTTATGAATGGCCAAGTTTAAGGCCCACTATAAAGTGAGAAGCAATGGCTGAGGGTATGTAAGGGAGAGCTGGAACAGATTGAAAGAACCCTTTGGTGATGCAATTTAAGGACTGGGTGGAAGGAACAAAGTGAGAACAGTGAACTCGAACAAGACATCCAACCTATCTGGAATGACCAAGGCTGCGACAAGCTAGCGCCTGGGAAGGGGTAGTCGTCTCAAATGAGATATCAAGGCTAAGCTGGAAACAAATCCTACAGGAAGAAGAAAAAGAAAACAACTCTTGGCTATTTGATTACATCCAAAATAAAAAATAAAGCGCCACCCTTTTCAACAGGGGAAGTAAGCCTAATTACCTAAAAGTTGTATTATGAAACAAGACAATACATCAAAAGCTTCATTTTGGAGCTTAGGAGTCCAAGAGTGTCTGGCCAAGGTAGCTTGTGAAAGGTAGGCTCTTCTTTAAACAG